CCTCGCGAGGTTCTGTCGGGGCCCCGCTCCACCAGTGGACGGCCCCTCAGGCAGCGGCCCCAGCTCCGTGGTTTCCACACACGGCACCCCCATGTGGGCCTTCATTCAGAGACTCATTCTCCTGCCTGGGGACCGCCTCCCACCCTTCGTCTTACCTCTCGGCATCTTCTCAACCAACCCAGAGCTTCGGACCAGAAGTCGGTGAATACGGGTATAAACACATTCTCTGCATAAAATCGGAAATGAGGAGCCCTGGGATGCGGGGCACAGACAGAGCCGACGCCTGTGCCAGGTCTGAGCCACGAGGCAGGGCAGCCCACAGGCAGCAGCTGCGCATGTGCCCACTTAGCCTGAGCTGAGGAGCCAGAGGCTGGAGGTGTGTTTCTAATCTTAGCCCAGCAGGTAACTTCAGCTCTAACCTATCCGTTTCCTGACCTCTAAATCGACACCGCCTCCAGCAGGCTGGTGTGTCTGGTTTCCATAGGCTTTTAGAAAAGGACGGTGACTCACCTGAGATGCTGAGTAGAAGAAAGTGCCATCAAACAGGAGGCTGTTCATTCCGATGACAGTGCTTACCATTACTCTGAGACTTCCCCCGCGCCCCCAGGACTCACTAGCCCCTGGGGACCCTCGCCCTCCGAGGTATCCTGGAAGGCGGCCCAGATGCTCATGAGAATGAGGGGCCACTCGGCACTACTGTGAGAGTTAAAGGGTGCTCCACGCTCCTCCTCGCAAATGCCAGTTTACCTTAGGAATGCCACAAGCAAGTGACAGGTCACAGTACACCCATGAGGAGGTGGCACTAAGGCATGGGGGCCCTGGGGACTCAGGAAGATGAGAAGGCAGCAGGAACAGTTCTCACGGAGGCAGAGCGAGCTCGTCGGCACCCGCCTGCCTCATGCCGATGCCGGCGCAGTGGTGGACAGGGCAGCGGGCGAGGAGATGGGCGGGCCTGGCTCCCACCTGCTTTCAGCCCCACAGGCTCCCTGGAAGCTCTTCTCTAGCTGTTCCAGGAAGAATTACACTCTCCAGCCAGTCTGCTGGGCTGAGGTTAACTAGAGGAATTCTTCCTTCATTAGGCAGATACACACTGAAGGTCTGCTCCGTGCAGGCAGCCCTGCATCTGAGATCCGACCGTTCACCCAGCAGACAACTCTAATTTCGTGCTTAACACAGATCCTGGAGCCAGACTGGGTTCAACCCTGGCTCTTCCATGACCGTGAAGTATGGCAAGTTGTTTAACCTCCGGGTCTTGGTTTTCTTGCTTATAAAATGGGGATAATAATGGTACCCAGCTGGGAGGGTTACCGTGGGAATTCAATGAGTTAGTGCCTGTAGAGTTAAGAGCAGGGCCTGGGGCACAGCAAATGCGAGATACGTGTGTGTTATTATCACTGCCCTCATGGAACATGCAGACGATGAATGGGGACAAAGTAAAACGCATCATCACACATTAGGTAGTAGTAAGTGCCAAGGGAACTCTAAAGCTGGAAGGGGACAGGAAGGGTACCCATGTGGTTGGGAAGGGGGTCTAATTTTGGATAAGGAAAGGCCTTCCTGAGAAGGGAGGGAGAGAGGGAGTCATGGTGTGTCTAGAGGGAGAGCATTCCAGGCAGAGGACACAGCATGTGCAAAAGCCCGGAGGTGGGAGTGTGCCTGGGAGGACAAGGGAGGGAGGCTGGAGTGGCTGGAGGGGACGACAGGAAGGGACAGAAGAAAGAAACGAGGTGGGAGAGTGGGCAGACAAGAGGCTCACCTGCCGACCAGGACTCCCCGCTAAAGCGGGCTGGCTGCCCTCCACCTCCCGCTCGCGACCCCGCTGGCAGGGATGGTAACGGCCCAGAGCGCAGACTGACCTGCTCCTGGTGCTGACAGCGGATCCGCAGCAGCTGCGCCCGGTGCTCCTCCTGGAGCCGGGCCATCTCCGCCTCGAACTGCAGCTGCAGCCGCTCCTCCAGGTCCTGCAGCTCAGCCCGCTGCTGCCAGCCCAGCCTCCGCAGCTGGTCCTCACACCGCCGCTCCAGCTCCTCCTTCTCCTTCTGCAGCTTCTCGCACCGCGCGGTATTGAAGGCTGGGGGCGGGGAGAGAGCAACACTTTGGGAAGACGGGTTAGGAGGCCCCGAAAGCATCACACCTGAGCCTCTGCAACGCCCACGGGGACACCACCGAGGAGGATGGACGTGAGGACCAGGGCGAGAGCCCCTTCCTTTTGCAGAGCTTCACAGTTTGTAAAGCGCTGTCCTGTCTACCGTGTGGGATCCGCACGACAGGCCCTGGATGTCGGGGTGAAAGCTGAGCCCCGGGGAGCTCTGGTGACAGGGCCCAGCTCGGAGGAAAGAACTGTGAAGGCAAATCTGGGCTTCCCGACCACAAGCCCTGCGCTCCTGCTGCTAGGTCAGGGTTTCTCCGAGGGGCCACAGACCACGGGCATCACAAAGACTGGGTACTTGTTAAAAATGCACACTCCTAGGTGCTCCCTGGTGGATCAGAGCCCCTGGGACAGAAGCCTGGCACATAAACTTTTCACGAGGACCACGGTGACTCTTACGCCCACCGGAGCTTGAGACCTGGGCACACCTGGAGGCTGGAGACAGGATGGGGGGGCACCGAGTCTCTCCAGGCTGAAATGCAGGACAATCGCAGAGGGTGTGGGGGGTTCCTTTCAGGTGGTCAAGGCTTCACCAGCACCGTCCCTCCCCACTGAAGGAAGGATGGGTAACTGGCCCAGCACAGTCCTGCTCTGCCTCCCCGGGAGGAGGCTGTGACGGCAGCTTCTGCCCTGCGCCTGTCCCACCTTCCCCCCTTAGTGTTCACACCTCCCCCTGGGCTGTGGGCAGCAGAGGCCTGCTTTCCTTGTAAAATCTCTTCCACAATTGCAAACTGCTTCCAAGAAGGAGAAAACCTTCCCTGACGATCTACTATGTTTGGATCAAATGGAGGTGATACACCCGCGCACGGCGGTTGAGGTGCACATCCACATCATTCATACGCCACAGAGGTGCTCTGTGCTGCCCGCTGGGGAGGCTGGTCACTCACTTTAAAACTGAGTGAGCAAGAACATATACTGGTTAAGGATAACCTACACCCTAGGGGTGGTTGGTTATGATCAGGACCAGACAGCCAAGGTAGTTAGACAGCCTTCGAAATACCCTAATCAGAAGCCCTAAGGGGGCAGATACTTCAAGGGCTTCTTTGCCACATTCGCTCTAAAAGCGTTTCTTCATTAGCACAGGGGATGTTCAAAAACATTCTTTCCCTCGTGAAAAGAGTGATGGGTGGGCTGGATGTTGCAGAGGCATCTTGCCCTGGGTGAACAGTGTATAAGAATCTGGTCCGCCCAGCAGCCTAACACGGTCCCCAACAGCCTTCTCGGTCCAGGGCTTCAACTGGCCCCGCGTCCCAAGATTGGGAGGGAGGATTCTGGGGCATAATCTGGGGAAGCTGTTAGGATTTTCGATGTAATCAGGGTGTACCAAGGGAGGGGTGGTGGGCAAACGACCCCCACCCCGAACCATCTGAGAGTCAGAGACTGACCACTGTCCCATCGACCCCGAATTCCTTAGGGCATACTCTCTACAAACAAGGGCATTCTCCTACAGGACCGCAATGCAGTCACCTACAGCAGGAATCAACGCTGACCCAAAAGTGCCGTCCAGCGCTCAGACCCATCAGAGCTTCTCCAGTTGTACCACTGACGTTCTAACTAGAAAAAGGATCCCGTCCTGCACCACGAGCTGCATTTAGCTGCCCCGTCTCCTGAGTCTCCTTCAGCCTGGGACCCTTCCTCAGCCTTCCCCGGACTTTGGGACCTGGACACTTTTGAAGATGACCGGCCAGTCATTTTGTAGAATGCTTCTCAATTCAGTCTGTCTGAATTTTCCTCATTATTAGATTTAGGTCATGAATGTTTGGCAGGAAAACCACAGCCCTGGCCCTGTGCTCTTCTCATCTGAAATATTCATCAGTTTGAATAATCTTTACACTGGAATTTCTTCTTTTTTAACTGTTTATGCAGGGAGTCAGGAAAATAATGCTTATGACAGATTGTCACGAGGTCGTACTGAAAATGACTGTGGTGTAGAGGAGGGAGTGCTACACATGCCAGGTGTCAAATAGACTAGGAATACCCTTGAATAGATACGTTATTGTCACATCTTTTCTGCGAGGTAGATGTCAGGACGGATGGCTGGGCGAGCACCGGGCTTCCCAGCACGGGTAGGGAGACGGGGTTCTGCTCGCTCAGTAATAAGTGGGACAGGAGGAGTAGATGAGGCTTTCTGGTCCCTGGAAGTGAGAGGTTAGGGGAGGGCACGGTCCCCACAGAAAGGACCTACCAGGAACGAAAGGCCAAAGCGGCTCAGGCCCGGAGGTAGCGGCGAGGGCTCGCCTGTTCCCAGGAGTCTGACCTACAGCTTTAACAGCTCCAGCTGTTCCCAAAGGCCCTCCACCTTGGGGACGGTGTTAGGGATCTCACCAGGGACCTCAGCGAGTGAGAAAGCTGTCAGGGTCCACAGACTAGGGAAGAGGTGAGGCGATAAAGACAGGTTCCTTCTGGGGTGGCTGGGTTTTAACAGAATAGAACAAAACCCATGGAATGGCCATTAAAAAACAGTGTTGATGGTTTGAGAAAAAGTCAAAATTGAGGCAGGGGGGCGATCATCTCACCTACATATGGGGAGGGCAGAGAGCCCTCTGCACAGACCCCAAGGATGGGGCGCCACTAGGTAATGAGCCCCAGGGCGGGCTTCTGGGTGCACGGGGGCAGGGGGGAGGTTCTCTGGAGTGTGCTCTTGTTTCCCTAATTCAGGTGAAATAACGTCTTAGTGGTCTCTGCCCCAGGCATCTTGCCCACCCATTCCTTGGGATCAAAATAAAGCAGTGACAACCACGTTTGTTTGTATTTAAAACAGGTCAATGAAGCAGTCCAGAGAGGAGGCACAGCCAGCCAAGAAACATGAGAACAGACGGTCAGCACCATTCATGACTCCAAACACGCAGATCAATGCAAGAGATGATTTTTCATCTCTAAGGCTGGTCAAGATGAAGTACTCAGATGCTAAAGCGTAAGAGGAAACCGGCATTCCTCAGACTGACGGTGGGAGCGTAACTGACAGGCTGCTCCAGAGGGCACGGGTATCTTTCCGGATTTAAATGGCAGGGATGGGCACACAAGAAGGGTGACATAGGAAGAGTCGGGGGTGATGCAAATGTTCCAAAACAGACTGTAGTGACGATTGTCCAACGCTGTAGATACACTCAAAACCACTGAATTGTACACTTTAAATGGACGAACTGTCTAGTATGTGAATTATAGCTCAATAAAGTTCTTATAATATTTCAGGGAGGATAAATTTAGATATTTTTGTAGAAGGAAATTTCATATTTGGATTTTAAAACTCTGTATAACAATGGTGAAGATACACGCTGGCAAACTAAAACTCCACCATCACAGTTTTACACGCACACGCACACACACGCACACACATGGTTGTATGTGGAGCCTAACAGAACCTAAGAACTATTCTTATTGTTTCTTAACTAGAGACAAAGCATATAAAACTCAAATGAAGATAGTAAAATATGCTTATCATGTATTTTTCTTTAATAAGTACTATCTTGTATGGGAAAAGGTATTTTTCATATGTTAATATCTGTATCTTTAACTCCAGGGGACCAAAACAACAAACTGACTAGACAGATTGCCTAGCTAGAATAAAACAGGTAAAGAAATGAAACTAACAAATCGGTTCCATTGGAGAAAAAAACTGAATAACACATATCCTTTAACCAAACAGTTTCACCAGGGCACCAAAAAAATCTGATCGCGGAGACTACTACAGCATGACGTGCCTTGGAGAAATAGTGGGGGGCTAGTTAAAAAAAAAGATGATTAAATTCTATATACACATAGGACAAATCCTACATCCAATGGGAGATGGGGAACCAGTGAAAAATGAGGTAAATCTTTTGGTGCTCTTGTGGGATGATCTGTAACATACTGTTGAACAAAAACAGGCCAGATACATGGTATGAATATGTAATTCCTTCTTGTGATGGAAATGTGCCTGCATTTCTAACCCTCCGTCTGTCCCTCCCCCCTTGGAGACTGTATGCCCAGGTTGCAGGACTCACTGCCCAGGGAACACCTGCAGTGGTAGGTATTTAATATCCTATTATTTGTTTGCATGTTTTATGAGTAAAAACATTTTAAAAATTACCACCACAATCAAGAAGACTGGGTTTGAAAAGGCCGTGGTCGCCCGCGGTCAGAAAGGACAGGCCTCTTCCATCCTCCCTGCAATTTTACTTATGCTCGTGGCAGGATGGCTCATGGATCTGGCGCTCTGTCCGGGGGCTCAGAGATGACTGGTTTCACCCTAGAGCTGCCCCTGGACGGCACTGCTGCCTCACATGAATGAGGAGCCGTGGCGGCCGGGGCTTTGCCGTCAGCGAAGTAGCGGAGTGGCCGCACCTTCACAGGCAGCACCAGCCCCCCAGTTCCCCATCACCGCTGCGTACGAGAGGTGGCACCTCCTCCTCCGGTGACCCCGGGCTGCAGAAGACACCAGGTACCTGCAGCCGAGGCACCCGGGAAAGGGCTCCAATAGTGGAGTCCCTAAAAAATAAACATTCTCTTGCCTCAAGTAAATCTTCAAAGACATTTCCTATTTGGGCGTTTTGCAGACAGAGGTTGACATCAGCTAATTTAGTAGCATCAGACAACACCTGGAGTCTTGCTTTCATCCGTTCTTTTTCCTTCATGAGAAAACATTTGGTCCTTTCTAGCGTGAGAGGTGAACACCACAATAATAAATCCCTCGAGTCTCTAGGAAGCTGAGAAAATAATCTCTAAAACAAAAGAATTATGAATGGCTAAGAGCATGATAACATTTCTAATTCAGAAGCATGAGTCTGAAAAGCAAAAATAGACTCAGAGTCTGTTGCACAGTTTTAAATAACTAAATATGTATGTAGGTATGAATATATATATATATAGCACGTGTGTGTACACAGAATACAGCTAACCCAACACAGTTCATAAATCAAATGAGAGGGAGAAAACTCAGTTAG